CGCCCGCCCCCGTCGCTACGTCACATCCATCAAATCTTCTTCTTCCTCATCGAAGAAGGGAGTCGCTACACAGAAATCTTCATCTGCAGCCGCCTCGTCCACCACCATCCCAGCCAAGAAGGCCAACAAGAAGGCCAGCGCCAAGGCTGCGGCCACTGTGGCGGCCTCGCACGCCAAGGCCCCCAAGGACCTGACCTTCGACGCGACCACGCTGGGCACGCTCGACCCGGCCTACGTCGCGCGGGTCTTCAAGGAGGGCTTCATCTCGGCGCGTGGCTGGGATCACCTGCGTACCGGCTATCGCTACACGGGCGTCGACCACTCCTTCTGCGGCAACCGCTTCCTCTACCTCTGGTGGAACCTCGTCGTCGAACGCTTCGTGCCGCTCTGGGTCGCGTACGTGTGCCGCCCCAACGTGTGCTACTGCTGCCATATAGGGCGGTCTAATGACACGACATGACACGACACGACACGACACACAACTGCAGCCCCAACCTGCTCACCCTTCTTGGATTTTTGTGCAATTTTGGAGCCTTCCTGCTGAGTGTACGTCTTCACCAGCGTATGAATTTATATTTTATTTATATCTGTCAATCTATTATTCTATTATTCTATTATTCTTGTTATAATTATTTGATAATTCGACCACTCACCCGCGAGTGTGGTGCTCTATCTGCCAGGCCTACAACACCGATAACATGCAAGGAGCGGCACCACCGTACGTGTGGGTCATCGTCGGCATTTCCATCTTCGCCTATCAGGTACACACCACACCACACCTTTCGTCTGTCCAAACAGACACCTCTTCGTCAGTCTGGCGAGTACTTTGTCGACACATTACAAATAATGTGTGCTTTGTTTGTGGGCTAAATGTACGCACGTGCACAACGCACACACACACACACACACACACAGACCTTTGACAGCATCGACGGAAGGCAGGCGCGACGAACAAACACAGCATCTCCGTTGGGCGAACTGTTCGATCACGTCTGCGACTCTGCCATTTGCATCGTACGCTTGCCGCACCGTGACTCTCCACGCCACACGCCGACTTATTTTTTCTCCTCGTGCGTGTCGTGTACGCAGCTGTTTGTGTTGAACATGGGGTGCATGCTCCACCTGGGTCCCGTGTGGACGTGGGTTCTCTGTTGGGCCATCCTCACACCCTTTTACCTCTGTCACTGGGAAGAGTACGTAGTGCCTCACACCTTCCTGCTCACCTCCTCCTCACCATGCTGGCCGAGACCAGGCGAGCCACCACGTGTTTTATTGACTGACGTGTGCGCGCTCGCTCAGGTACTACACAGGCATATTGGAGATGGGCGAGTTCAACGGCCCCGTGGAGGCCCAGCTCTTCGCCATGCTCACGTGTTTCTTCACCGCCGGCGCCTGTACGCACCCCAGGCTCTCCTGGTTTTCCCTCTTTTGTTTCTTTTCTTTTCCTTTGTTAACAAGACTATTATTCTTTTTTCTTTTGATTGTTTAATTCATCATAGCGACCTACGATCCGATCTTTTGGGCGCGGGAGGCCGCCTACGGGTTCACGCGCGGACAGTGCTTCATCCTCTTCTTCTACTCCATAGTCCTGCCCACCGCCGCCACCCAGTACACTGCCCCCGTCCCCCCGTTTGTCTTGTGTCGACGACACATTGTGTCGACGGTACATCAGGTGGCTAAACACACACGTGGCTTGGTCTTTTTGGTGCGCTATGCACAGCGTGTGGAAGGTGGCCTCGAGCCTGCGCGACAGGAAAGGCCTGGGCAAGGCCTTCGCTCAGCTGTTTCCCCTCGCGTGGCTGGGGCTAATGGTGCGTGCGTGCGTCCGTGCGACGCCTCGTGTCAACTGGATTCTGTTAGTTTTACTTATCTTTTCTTTGCTTTTCTTTTCCACATAGGGCACCTCGTGGGTGTGGTCTGCGATGCATGTCTTCCTCATTCACCCTCACACCTTCCTTCTTGCCTTCGGCGCCGCCTTTGCCTACATCACTGTACGGACCACAACCCATACACGCACCGCGCACCGCGCACATGGGCATGCCTGCATCGCGGGGTGCTGACCACAACGTGTCGTGGACGTCCATGCACAATGCAGTCTCGCTTGATTGTGCAGCGAATGTGCCATGAGCCGATTCGGCCGTTCTACACCATCCTGGTGCCGCTCACCTTTGGTGCCCTCAACTCGCTCGTCCCCTATCTCACCTCCCACATCATGTACGCACTTCCCTTCCCGCACACGCACGACCCGACACACACGGCACACGACACGCACACACAACACCGCACACGCAACATACATGACTCACGAGCTCGTGGGCTTTCGGGGGTGCAGCAAGCCGTGGGTGGAGGAGGAGCGCATGGTGGCGATCTTCTTCGTGTACGCCGTGGGCAGCTTCCTATTCCTGTGCTACTCGCTCACGCAGCAGCTGTGTCGGTACCTCAAGATCCGGGCCTTTGCCATTCCCTATCCGACCGCCGCCTCGGGTGCCCGGCACGCGGCTCGCCCTCCGGCCGCCGCCACCGCCAGCAGACACACCTCGCTCTGATGCGGATCGGAGTTGTGTGTGAACAGACTCGAACGGACAACATATGACCAAGCAAAGCACGCGACAGCAACACCATATCTTCAACGCCTCCATAAACAACACTCACACCAATACGGCCTGGGGTTGACCGACAGATTGTGGACTGCTGAAGTCAGAACTTGCTTGACGGTCACATCGTTGCGCCATCACTTCTGATTCGAGTAGGTCCCCTGTCACCCTTTTGCTGTGGACATTGCATTACGTGGGCGTGAACAACGTGCCGCCAATGCGCTAGCACGAACCTGCATGGTGAGCCCTGCATGGTGAAAATTTGTCCAACAGGGACGTATTCCCAAACGCCTTAAAGCACGGGACTCCAACAACAGGAGCGTATCCTGAGTTACCTGTGAGCCTGATCCACTAAACACCAGGTCCGCCCCGCAAGCGCGTTCCCGAGTGGCAGCCAAGCGGTCTACCCGCGCCACGGGGTGTCCGGACCTTCATTGGTTGTCGCCACTTCTCTCTCCCATACCACTCAGACCACTCCACAAAGTTTCACACTTGTTGTCCCTCCACACCGCACCTCGCACAGCTTAACTAGTCGTCTTCTTCCCCCAACGCACCCTTAGGCGATTGTTGATTGTTGATTGTTTGTCTAGGCGCAGCGCACACGCGATGCCGAGGTCCAGGAAGGTGATGAAGGATGTGTTGACCGCCATCCTCTTCATCATGTTGATGGTCCTTCCGAGCCATGGTACGGGAAGGCCCCATCATCAATCCACTCCTTTCCTCTTCTCGACGCCCGCGTTCAACTCTTTCATCGTTCATTCTTTCTTTCGCTTTCTTTCTCCCAGCAGGCGCTTTTGGGGTTGAGCTCTTCGGTGCCGGCTCGCCCGAGGTGGCCCTCGCCTTCTCGACCCTGGCCGAAGACTACCTCTTCACCCGAGACGACGTCAGGTACCCGACACCCACGCCTTGAGGGGGGGGGCCGCGGTGCTCGCTTTCGTTCTCCGCCACCGTACTCTATAAGTGGAGTTGCTCACCAGTCTGCTATTTTTCGCGGTCGGTTGATTGATATCACTATTTTAATATTTCGTTTCGGCCAATGGCGTGCGGGTGTCACTCAGTATCAAGTACTCCGAAATGGGGACGAGCAGCGTGTTGACCGCCTACGGTGAAGGGTTGGTGGTAAGTTTAATGCGTTACCCGCTCAACCGTCTACCACTTGCCTCCTTCTTCGAGACCCGTGTGGTCGGCCGCTCGGACTTGTGTCAACTAACAAAAACGTGTGTTGGTCGTACGCAGGACTTTGCGAGCTTTGACCGGGCGGTGCCGGCCGACTTGGTGGCCAAGTTCGGTGACTATGTGCAGTTCCCCATCGTCGGGGTGGCCCTCACCATGGCCTACCGCCTTTCCGAGTTCAATGCCTCCGACCCCAACATCGTACGCACACGCATCGCCGCACACACACGTACACCGCACACACACGTACACCGCACACGGTAGTGGTGCTGACTTTGAGAGAAACAACGACAGACACTGGACAGGGAGACGCTGGGCCGGATATGGTCGGGCTCGATCTCGTCGTGGAACGATTCGGCCATTCAGCAGCTGAACCCGCTCCTGGCAGCGCGTCTGCCCAACAGACCCATCCAGCTGGGTCTGGTCGACGACAGCGCACTCTCGGTCTCGCAGATCGCCAAGATCGGCCTCTCCAGCTTCTCCGCCGAGTTTGCGGGCGCGCTCGCGGCCGCCAACAACACCTTCGCCCTCATGGCCCCGCTGTTCGGCGGCCGCGCCACCGTCTTGTCCACCAACACCTCCGCTCGCACCAATTTCCTCAAGGTGCGCGTGTGTTGTGTGTCGTGCGTCGTGTGTCGTGTGTCGTGTGTCATTGCTGATAGTGATGGGAGCAGAACACGGATGGCGGGATGACCTTCATTACGTATCCGGAGGCGGTGGCCGAGGGCCTGCGGTGGGCCAACATGATCAACCTCGCCGGCCAGGAGGTGGCGCCCGGCCCCGACGCGGTGCGGGCCGCCATGCAGGACTTCACGCCGGCCTACAACGCGGGCCAGTTCGCGGTGGACATCGTCGATGGCAACGGCTCGGCGTCGTGGCCGCTCGCCTTCACCTCCTACTTCTCGCTGTCGCGCAACATTACAGCCGTAGACTGTACCAACGTCGAGGAGCTCCTCAACTGGCTCGCCTGGGTGCTCACCAACGACGCGTACGTCTTTTTCGGCGTGTGCTGTGTGTGAGGTGAGTGCGGCGTGTCACACGGATTGTGACTGATGAGGGCCGGGGCAACTGTGACAGAGCCGATTCGGCGCTGCGGAAGGTCAAGTTTGCGCCGCTGGACACTGTGCTGGCGACGAAGCTGCTGGCGCTGATGAACACGGTTCAGTGCAACAGCGAGCAGGCCTACGTGACGTCGTACATTGTCGGTACCGGGCCGGCGATGCCGATCTACACTTCGTGGTCCGTGGCCTACGCGGCCGATGACGTCGACGTCAAGTACTACACCGACGACGACGCCACGGCCAAGCAGCAGCTGGTTGACTACGACGAGGACTTTGCCGCTTCGAGCAACGGCCTGGCCGCGGCCTGGCGCGACAAGATGCCCGACGCGGCGCTGATGCCTGTGATCGCCTACGCGATCGTGCCGGGCTACCACCTGCCGGAGCTCGTAGGGCTGACCGAGCCGCTGGTGCTCAATTTCGACACCCTGGCGGCCATCTACGAGAACAACCTCACCATGTGGGACGACGAGCGCATCAAGGCCATCAACTCGGCCGTGGTGGCTGCCGCGCTTCCGCACCAGGCAATCGTGGTCATCACCGAGTCCATCGACTCGGCCGTCACGCACCTATTCACCTCCGTCCTGAGCGCCACCGTCCCCGAATTCAACGCCACGGTAAACGCCCTCTGTACAAAGGGCATTAGCTCCTACAAGCGCTCTTTTAACTCCGAGCTCTGTTCTGTGCAGGTCGGTACGGGCACGCTGGTGAACTTCCCGGTGCTGGCCGCAGGCAATCGCTCCATCACCACGGCCAGCCCGACGGGCGTCATCGACGAACTCGTGGCCACGCCCTATTCGTTCGCCTTCTGGGACCTCTATGACATCACGCTCGTACGGCCTCCCTCAATCATCTTCTTCCCCCTCTGGCGGACACTCAATCGATTGTGTGTGTGTCGTGTGTGTGTCGTGTGTGTGTGTGTGTGTGTGTGTGTGTGTGTGTGTGTGTCGTGTGTCGTGTGTGTCGTGTGTTGTTTGGTTTGGCCTGGCAGTCGAGGAGCGTGAGCGCGGCGTCGCTGATCAACACCTCGGGCAATACAGTTGCGGCCAACGTCGACTCAGTGGTGAGCGCCATCAATGACTACCTCGCCTCGAGCGCCACCCACGCCTTCGACACCCTCTCGCTAGGTGGTACTACTCCTCAGGTTCAGCATTGCGTGGTGCAACTCTGTGTCGACCACCTGACGCCCTTTGTGTCGGTCGGTCTGCAAGCAGGCGAAGGCGCGGGCAGCTGGCCGCTGGCGGCCTTCGGCTCGTTCTTGTACCGGTCGACCAGCATGACCGACTGCGTCAAAGCGGCCGCCCTGGCCGACTTCCTCTTGTGGACCCAGACCTCGGCCACCTCGCTCCGCATCGCCAAACGGTTCGTTGCGCGGCCTTGTCCCTGGCTTGCCGAACTGGAATGTG